GCGCCGTGGGACCTTGAGACTACGACGCGATTGGAGGTAACAAAAGACGAAGCCTTGCTCCATTTGAAACGAGACGACCCCAATGTTGTTGCAACAAACGTTCACGTCTCGGCGCAAGTTGGATGTAATTCCGCCGGTCGATTGATAGATTCTGGCACAACAGGCTTGGTACAATATCACATTCACATCACTTATTAACACACATGGTTAGGTCACGGGTTTATATTATTTAAACTACATGGAATACCACGAAGCAAGCACAGTCTTGTTGTTGGAATCTATGAATCATAGGATGCGAACGGTTGACGAAAAGAAACCAACTCTGATGGCCAATCCCAAGGATCGTGGGCATAGGCTACTCCAGACGTTTTTTTATGGCACAACCGCCAAGCAGCAAACTTCACTAGCGACTGTGGCTTTTCATCTTCGACGCCGTCCCCATTTTTACGTGTCCGTTCCGTATCATCCTGTTCACCATAGAATGTTCGCCGCGTACGTCTCATCCAAGTTCCCAGAAGCAGCAAAGGGGACTTTTACCACGGAACATCCAAACGCGCAAGATTGGACGCATATTGAGAGCAACAGTAACGAGGTATTAGATTACATCCAAAGACCGGAGCACTGCGAGGAAATGTCGGTCCTTGAGTATGTGGGAAGGCATGATGATTCGAATCTTCTTCATTCAACCATTGTTCGCGTCCCTATTTTCATGGATCCGTACATCAACCTCGCGATGTCACCATGGAATCTTTGGATCTTCTTCCTGAATTTGCTCGATTAGTCTGCACTTTTTTTCAGCCTTGGCGACGTGCAGAAGATATCCTCAACTACGAGGAATCCTTTGTGCATCGGTCCAAGATCATCATGGATGACCTCAGCTCCGCCTATGCCCAGGATCCTCATGCTGAATCTGTGCACGGCTTTCTGGGAAGATATCTTGACAACATTGAGGTCATGAGCCGAGCAAGACAAGCAATTGCCGACTACAAATCCGGAAGGTATAAATTGGAACCATCGAGACAGCTCCCAAACTTTGGAGGATTACAAATGGATATCCTTGATGAGGAGGAAAAGGAGGGGAATGACATTGATCACGTGGACGAGAACATCAAAGAGGATCCAATGGACGTTGACGACGGTGTTGAACCATTCCATCGACTTGTTCCGGACATGGATCAAAGACAATCTCAACTGATTGACGCGGTCTGTTCCAGTGGACGGTTCTCACGAGTATGCTCCTCCTCCGACATTGTCGTCTACCAACCACACATCTTCCCCAACAGTGCCAGAGATTACCCCAACGAAGTTAATTGGTTTTTTGAATGAAAGTCGAAGAAGATATAAGCAAGATCGTTTGGAGAGGCTACCGGCATTTTTGAGGCGGGCGGAGAAAGGAAGAGAGTCATACTTCATCGCTCACCCCCCAGATTGCAACACGCCAACGATCGAGCAAATTTATCTTGAAGATCTCTGGCACGTCAACATCAACCTCATGAAGAGCGTTATTGTTGATAATGGTCTTGGGAAGGATCAGATACTACCCTTCATCGTATTTGCCACTCAACTTCAAGCGCGTCTTCATGGTTTACCAATAAATCCCATAAGAATGATCGTCCTTGGTCCCGGAGGCACTGGCAAATCCCACCTCGTTAATGCGCTCTCCGACTTCCATAAGCGGTTGGGTGTTGAGACAGCTTTAGAGAGAGCAGCATTCACGGGAGTCGCGGCAGCAAACATCCACGGCGAGACAATCCATCGACTGTACGAATGGACCGCTCTGAAGCATCAAGCTCCTCTAGGCAATTGCGCAGAGACCATACGACGAGAGCGGCTTTGGTCAGTGTTGTTTACCATGATCATTGATGAGTTTGGCATGATCTCTCCGTCTCTCCTGAATCACATGGATGTGCAAGCACGACAAAATCGAACGATGGTGGATGAATCGGATAAAGAGCACCCCTTCGGCGGCATCGACGTGATGTTCACTGGCGATTTCATGCAGCTTAAGCCGATCCAACAATCCCCTCTCTACCATCAGGCATCACAGAGCGCGACGTCATTGCACGCTAACCTTGTCAACCAAAGACAAACACCCGACAACTGAAGGTCTCGTCTTGTGGAGGACAATCCCGTTTGCTGCAGTACTCCGTCAGAATTATCGTTGCAGTCCAGATTACGCCCAGTTCTTAGAGAATCTACGCCATGGATTCACGACAGAAGACCATCTAGAGAAACTCAATCAACGGTTGTTGTCTCGTCACCCGAACATCTTTGAAGATCCGGCCTGGCACAACGCTCCGTTCATCATCCCCTACAACGCGACACGCATCAACTTCAACATGAGATCACTGCAAGCGCTGGCAACAGTGTCCACCCCAGTACACTGGGTCATTGCTGACGATCACGCACAGACTATCGGTAAAGAAACCATCGCAAAAGTTCAACACCAAAACCGCGATCAATCGGATACTGAGACTGGGGACCTCCCACTTCTGTTACCGCTTTTAGAGGGCCACGACTACATAATCACCAACAACCTCGGACGGAGCTGAATATAAGCAAAGGCCACGCGGTGCTCTTTAGTGAAGATCCATTATCCGCCCCAACTACAATCCACCCATAGGTACGTATAAAAACATATATATCGTAACAGATTCAGGGAGTTCCTCCAACATCTTCCCGACAGTTCTACCATCATGGTTGGAAGTTCGTCTTCAATCACCCCTCCACAACATTTCGAATAAGTGGCCGGCTTGCAACGACGAAGATAATCGATCAATGAGCCTTATCCCGGTGGAGAGAAAAATCAAGGTCTCCTACAATGACGTGAAAGGAAAGGCCCATTCCCTCACGTTAGCACGAAGACAGATGAGCCTGGTCCCTGCGGATTCTTTTACAATCTATCGTGCACAAGGCCAGACCATCGATCGCATCATCACCAGCATTACGAAAGGAAAACGGCAGTGTCTTTCGTTCTGTGAATTGTACACTATTCTCTCACGCGCTCGAGACTTTCTCGGTCACTGCTGTTTATTGATGCCAAGATCACTCGCGAATGCATAAAAGCCCAACCATCCGCAGACATCAAAGCCGAGATTGCAAGAATCGAAAGTCTCGCTCAGAAGACAAAGGATCGCCATTTGGGACCGTCTTCCAACAGCAGCAAAACTCCTGTATGATCAGATGTTATCAGAAGTTCAATAAAAAGTTTTGCAACATAACAAGTCACGTTACTGTTGAAGCTGTCCTCCCTGAGTGGCGAGCTCTAATGGGTTTGGTTAATGGTGTCATTTTAAACATCCAGAACTTCCACAATTCAACATGGCTTACATCATAGGCGGTTATGGTGAACCTGAAAGAAGTAACGAAATCCCAAGCATCATTCTGGACTCCTCTAAGCTTCCCAAAAACGTTCAACGACGAGTTCAGGTTCTCCTCAACTTTCCCCGGAAATGACGCCATCCCACAATGTTTCAAAGGTACCGGATCACTATGTCTTCCACAACAGCCGTGGGAACCGTTTCTGCGTTGGCGGCAAAACCCGTTGACTTCTTCACGGTTGGCATGGTGACGGACGACACGAACCTCCAGCATCAAATCCAAAACCGGTCCCATCGCGCAGTGCATGATGTCCGTCGCAGTGTTTGACCCTGACGGGATGAAGTTGCTTTTCAGTCAAATGGAGTCCCTTTTTGAGAATCCATTCTTTCTGAAATCCAACGGTGGACTTCAGTTTGCATCCTTTGTAAAAGGTAAACCAATCTGCTTACAGCAATTCTCACTCACTTTAGCACCCGTTTACAATTGCCTTGAAACCTTCAACTTCAAAAATATCCGATCATTCACCGGAAATAACGGAGGAACTTGGGGTCCCGGATCGTGGTGCTGGATTGTCTTTCAACTTCGCGAGCACCACAGTGGGCTTGCCCAACACACCGTCTCGTTGGAAACTCAATACGTAGCTGTTCTCCACCAGACCCAGGCCAGCATCGGACCGCTCTCTGACGCTCCAGACTTCACCGCATGAAGAAAGAATATCGCACATTGCTGTATGCCATCATCCAATAAAAACCACATATGCATTTGCAACAATATATTACTTCAAGCTCGACGCATATCAACAATATACAACAGATCATTTCTCTTCAAAAACGACATCAACAAAAAGACAAGATAAACAATACGACCAGCCTTATGCCCACGCTCAAGTCTAGCAATGGTCCTCGTCAACCACATCTTCTGACTCTCTGAGACGCGGAAAGTGGTAACTATCCAAGTTTAAATTGCGTCAACAAGAACTCCACCACGCTCACCATCATGCTCACATATGTTTATCTCCAAAATCTCCCAAGGAACGTCCCAATCGTCTTTGAAGATAATCCCAGTCTCCATGATGTACTCCGCCGACTCCTGCAGAACTTCATCCACCATCTCAACAACAATTGATCCACGATTCCTCCGGTTCACATGACGAAGAATTCCATCCAGCAACTGCCTTATCTTTTGAAAATATCGTCCGTAACGAAATGCGCTGTGATTTCCTTCTGATGAAGTAAGTACAAAATGAACAGCATTCTTACCTTGCTTCACTTTGAACGACTGAATCTCCTCAGTCTTATCAACAGCGTTGAAGGCCATGAGAGTTCTTTCACAGTTTCCATCATCCAGGTTCCGTGGCAAACTCTCTTGTGACGTCTCCCTGATTGTTGTCTCCACCCAAAAAAAAAAAAAAAAATTGTTAAAAAGTAATGGCCTTGATGGGGGGGCCCTGGATATTACCTTCGCAGGGGCCGCGTGCGCGCGGCCATCCTGCGGTGAACCCCTTGTGGTCTCTTTCTCGGAGGTCCTCTTTGGGAGGACGGCCGTCTCAGGCAGCTTGGGGGGCATGTCCGAAAAAGAATCAAGTTTTTCCACAAGCCGCCTTAGCTCACCTGGGAGAGCGTAGCACTGAAGATGCTAAGGTACTCGGTTCGATCCCGAGAGGCGGCATTTCTCCTTCTGCTTCGATAGTGTAGTGGTTATCACGTTTCCTTCACACGGAAGAGGCCCCAGTTCGATCCTGGGTCGAAGCATGTTCAATATCCGATATCGTCTAGCGGTTAGGATTCCGCCCTTTCACGGCGGCGGCCGGGGTTCGATTCCCCGTATCGGAGTGTTCAGCGTCGATAGTTAAGTGGTATAATAAGCGCCTTCCAAGCACTAGTGCCGGGTTCGATTCCCGGTCGACGCAGTCTTTTTTATTTCTCTCCTTCTCTTTATCTGTCCTCTCCTCTTTGTTCCTTTTGTGTAATAAGTTTTAAGCGCCTTTCCAACACAAGTGTTGTTCGATTCCCGGTCGACGCAGTCTTCTTTTCTTTATTTTCCATTTTACTCCCTATGTTTAGTTTTCAGGAGCCCATAATCTTTTTGATTTTTTTGCTGCGGATAGTATTTACTTAGTTCTAGGTTATTTTGCCAATTCAACTCCCAGTGGCTTCAACTCCATATACCATGTTCATTCATTCAGGACTTCGGTATTCTCCATCGCAAGTCGGCGTATATTGTTCGATTCCCCAGTCGACGCATACTTTTTTATCTGTGTCCCCTTTCTAAAAAGGCTGCAGGAGCCTTTAACCAAGAGCTCAGTGTACTCTTTCATCGGTGGTGCCTTGTCTGGTGGTGTGTGGGTCAAGAACCTTGATGCTTCTTTTAGTCATCGACAATGTAAGAAAAGGTAACTTTGAGGAATTTGGGATAAGGAACGTGTCCATCTTTTATAATTAATTAAATATTTATATATCACATCCCATGCGCGAGCCAAAAGACTCAGTTACGACTATGCATTTGTTTAAGAGTATCCCGCGGAACAAAAACGAGTCGTAAAGCGGGTGTTTATGAACTTGGCTGTTTTGAGTTATGCGTGGTGCTTATTTCCCTCGCAACACAGGACACAACACAGACGAACATACTTGCGCAGCGACAAACACAAGCACAGGACACAAGGACGGAGCAGACTTATCAAGGTAGAATAGGCCATTGACATGATAAATACTCACCTTCACAGAAGCAACATAGAGTATGACTTCCTCATCGCGTCCACCGTTTTCACCGCCACCTGGAGCTCGAAGAACGACATGGAGATCTATCGTTTTTACGGGTGAATTGACTGGTGTGTTTCAGGGAGATTCAACTACCACCACCGATTCATTGGAACAACCAACAACCACCAATTTGTTCGACTCTACAACCACTCCAACACAAGACATAATCCCAACATCGATCACAGCAACGTCAACCGCTACTTCTCGATGCACAATCACCCACGTCACTACTTACAGTCTACCGCTGCACGCGATGGGCGAATCAAAAAGCGACACCCCAACGTTCATGACTCTAGGTACGGGATTGACGGGCATTGTAGCGAACATAGTGCTTTTGTGTGGTTGTTGTGGCTGTGGGAGGGTTCGCTTATTACCGTGGTCGTGCACAGAAAAAACATCAACTTCAAAAGGGTGTGATCGAGTTGTGTTGATGCAATAGAGTAAGGCGGGCACATAATATCTATACAAAAGATTCAAGAATTAAACTCTATCTACATACTTGCTATATTATATTATCATCTCAAACAAATGTCACTGTCGATCACACCACGCGCATCTCAAGTTCATGAAAGGAATATTATCCTCTGAAGAGGAAAACCCTCTCCAGAACCCATTCTTCACTTCATTCCTTGTAACATCTTCCCCACCGCTATCCTCCCGTCCACTCCCCATAAAAGCAATTCCTTTCAATCTTTCCAACACATCCTTATCACGTCCGCTCCCTCCATCGTCTTTCCCCTCTTCCCCAACATCCACCCTCAACCCCCCCAACCCCATCACCTTTTTTCTACCCGCCGCAATCTTCAACATTTCCACAACCCCCTCCTCAACCCCCTTCCCCCCAACCTCCGAAACTCCCTTTGGTGTCACCCCCCACCAACCCCCTCATCCCACATCCTCTGTGCAAGCCGTCTCCAAACCGCCCCCACATCCGTTGGATCCTCAACAAACACATACCCCTCAGCCTCCTGTCTCAAAAACTCATCAGGCGTCGTCACATCTCCTCCATGTGTTGTATAACTCTCCCAATGCAACACCTGCCCCGCAACAGGGAGCGGGAACGCCACAGGAAGTCTGACATCCTTTGCCGCCCCACTTTTGGCTACAATCTCATTAACGTCCCTTAATATCCTTGCGAAATCCAACACGGAGCCGCCTTCAAACGTCGTAGGTTGAAATGCCTTAAACCCATCCTCCCAAAACCCTCCATAAGTATGCGTTCGAACCCCCAAAGAGTTCCGCATCGCCCTCACCATCATGGCGCATGTTGAGCCACATGCCCCAGAACTTAAAACAGCAACGGCTCCACTCTTCCAGCCCTTCTCGAGGGGTTCTTGGGCGGCGAACAGGGCGTCAAGGTTTTCGGTGGCGACATCACAACGAATAGAAAATTCACCGGTATAGTATTCATCAACTCCACCGCGTTTGATGAGATGAACGTTGGGGGCGTCGAGGATAGCGTAGGCGTTGGTGGTTGGGGGTTGGGTAATGGGGAGGATGGCGTCGCGAAGGTTGAAGGAGTTGTCGTCAGATATGGAGTGAGATGAGTTCCGGGTTGAGTTGAGGAGGTATAGGTTTGCGGGGGAAAGACGAATGTCGTAGTGAATAAATGTGGTTTTGGGGCCAAGGAGGTACTATAATTTGACATGTTAGCCGAATTGATAAGAAGATAATCAAAGAATATGGAAAATGTAGAACTCAAGAGTATGGAAAGAAATGAAAGACTCTACCTTTGCCAATCCTTTCCCTAAACAAATTACACCACCCCCATTATTCGTCACATCCAAAATGACCCTCCCCACACCCTCCTTCTCCAATTTCCTTAACCCCTCCGTCACACTCCCAACCCAATTCTCCACCGCCCTGGTCCCATTATCCACACTAAACCCAGGCAACGCAAAACTCAAGTCTTCCTTCCCTCATCATCCTTCAAAACATAGAACGCGGTCTGTGATTGTCTGTGTGAATAGGTACGTCTTGCTCTGAAATTCCAGAACCATCCACAGCTCGGTCATCATGATTACCACCCTCATCATCAATTCTCTCATCATGTAAGCCATAAAAACCGTCCCTCCTTCGTAACTCTTTTCGTCCGCTACCCCAGCACCACGGTAAGGATGCTTGTAAAATGGCTCGTTTCGAGGCGGCGGTCCAAATTCGTTCCGGGGGGGCAGCTGTCGCCTAAGCTCTTCAAGGTCATTCAAATCAATGGTTCCAGTAGGTTGTTGCTCCCTCACACTCGTAGGTGGGTCATCCTCCCTTTCAAGCGGCCCAATCGCAGGTTTTTTCCCAGGCGCATCACTACGACGTCGAAGCTCAGACAACCCGTTTCCTTTTTCCTTGATACCGCGGTACGGATGCTTGTAAATTGGTTCACCAGCATTGGGTCTCATAAACTCATTCTTGCCGTTCTTCATCTCCTCCATTTCCTCTCTCCTATCAAACTTTGCGTAGCGATGCAAAGGTTTCAGCACCTCCTCTTCATCAACCCCACCCTTCCCAACCTCCTTCATATGCGCCTCCAACCGTCCCCTGCTCACACTCGCCAACTGCATCGTCCCTCCAAGATGATGAGTACCACTGATATTCTCATTAGGTCTACAAAACTCCTTTGTGTACGTCGCTGTATCCATTTCAGAGAAGGTTTCGCGAAAGTATCCGAGCCACGGCACCGTGAGAGATGTGGTTTTTAAGGTTACGGGATCACGTAGGAGGTACGTGCGAGTGTTGTTGGAGGGGAGACGACGGGATGCCGAGAAGGGACCGTCGATGAGGCGGAGACGGCCAGAAAGGAATTGGGTCGATGCGAGGGCAAAGTTGAAGCGGGTTTGAGGCGTGTGGGAAAGACCGACGCTGGTATCAGCGAATGCCTTCACTGCAGTCTATATAAAAAGAATAATTATTCTATAGCCACTTCATCTTGGTGGAGAATGAATAAGGAAAAAGAGTATTTAAAGAAGGCATGAGAAGAGAAGTAACTCACGACAGCATCGATTCCGTCAATCTCAACAACATCCCAACCCAAAAACTTGTTCAAATCATCCCCAACCGCCTTCTTCCACTCATCCAAAAGCCGTTCTCTAAACCCAGCCTTCACAAGATCCGGAAACCATTTCGGCAAATTCACCGTCAGAGTCGTCCCCTTCTCCACTGTCTCCTTTACCACAATCCTTGTCTTGCCTGTATCCGAATGCCGGGCAGCCAAGATGAAGGGTTGCATGAAATTCACGGTGGTGAAACATGTTGGTGAATACACGGCGTGGGCGTCTCGAAGGGATTTGAAAAGCGTCACAATGGAGTCTTGGAAGAGGTATTCGGTTGTAAGCTCGGGCTGGGTTGCAAGTGCGTCGAGACGGGAGATAAAGTCTATCCCAACTGTTTTCACGAGGTTGAGATAGGGGTATCTGTCCACATAAAGGGGTTTAGTCATAATTACAATGGAAACCACTTACAGTTCAAGATATCCTTTGATGGCATTGATTTGAGCCTTCTTGGTTTCGTCAGATACTTTAAAGGATTCAAAACATGTTTTCTGGCTTCGATGGCGGTCACCACTCTTCCGTATACAAGTGATGAACAAGGGTCGTTTGATGACAGTGGTGTCGATGGGGATGCGGCTTGAATAATGGAAGAAAGAGATGCAAGGAGGATGAGAAGGAGAGGCCGCAGTGCTGATAAAGTGTAAATGCGCATGCTGTGGATTTTGGTGTGTCTTGAGGTTCAAAGATTGGGTATGATGAGAATGTGATGATGCAGAGACAGGGTGAAGTAATGCGCGATGCTGGATGCTCGATGGTTGAGAATTGAACTCGATGATGTGATGATGTGTTGATGTAAAGAAGCGAAAGAATGATGAGCTCTCCTTCGATCCCTTCTTCAAGTGTTTTCTGGTGTCAGCCTCGATGGCTGGCAGCAAATTTTATTTCTAATTTGAGGCTGGCTGGATGGCTGTTGAGGCTCAGAGGGAACGAACGGCGAGGCGCTGGATGATG